TTAAACGATAAATCAATTTTAATATAATGTTTTTTCTGCTATCTGGGTTACGGATAGATAATTAAAGAAAGGTTATCTAATTGTGATAAAAATTAGTTTTGATCTTATATGTATTGCCCCACTAGCCAATGGTGTGATCCTTTGCTATCTACAAAACAAACATACGCAGTGTTAGCTACCATCCTGTTTTCTTTGTGACATATTTATTTAGTTTCATCTAGACTGGAAATTCAAAGGTGACTGTGTATTATAGATTCTGGAGATTCTGATAGAAGAAGCATTTTGAACTGAGACGCAAGTACAACAACCCGAATACAATAACCTAGACAAAGGTAAATGAATATCTCCTTTCATGTATCTTTTCAGTACGAGACTTAAGGTGCACTGAATGTGTATGTGTAGCATGAGTTACCAAGAGACATTTTTTAATAGGGCCTATACTTTCAAATCCTTTCCATATTGTGATGACACTTATTATTCTTCTAATACCAGTTGTTCCTAAAGTATAAATAATTTAATGAAAAACTATCCACCATGAAATAATGTCCAATTGAAAACCGTAGCATGAATTACGAGTAACATGAGTTACCGATGCAGCATGAGTTCAATTGTAAATGTATGCCACCATGGAGGTATAAACCATATACCTCCATGATACCACTAAACAGCAGCAAGGATCAGGTTATCCTATCTGATGGGTTAGTCTGCAACTACACCTGTGTCAGAGACAGTGCTATGAACAACCATATGTATAAATACATCTCTTAATATAATAATGTAGCGTCGATAATACCGACAGATCAGATTTTTACTCCAGTATTTGGGTTGCTGGAGTTAAATTAACTTCATGTTTAGAGTAAAACAAGCAGAGTTAAAATAACCCATCCACAGAGAGTCAAATTGATCCTATCTCATGAATTATAGCAGAGTTAAATTAACCCATTCACAGAGAGCAAAGTTGATCCTATCGCAATGCATAATGGCAGAGTTAAAATAACCCATCTATCAGAGAGTTAAATTGATCCTATCACAAAGCATTATGGGAGAGCCCGCGTTATTCGGGTCATTTTCTGTGTCTCGACGTTGAACGAAAATGAAGAGTTTAATTGATTTTTTTCGTCTTTTTATTGGAATGTGTTTGAAGTTAGCTGTAGTAAGGACATCTAACGGGATATTCCATTTTCTGCACAGGTTATCTAATTATCCAAAGAATTTCCAACCTGATCGTCGTGCTATGCGATCGCGAGAGTATGTAAACAACGATTTAACAACCGTATTTAGGACGTTCGTGGTTTTACTTGGACAAATTTATTGATGATATTGTAACACGTATGACATTAATAAACAAAAACATCATTAATAGAATAAATCATATAAATACATAGGCCTATACGAAAATGTACTGTATTATTATTATTATTATTATTATTATTATTATTATTATTATTATTATTATTATTATTATTTATTATTATTATTATTATTATTATTATTAAATGATTAAATAAATTATAAAACCATTACAAACAATTCTGACAAATAAATACTTGTTAATGTTAAAAATTCAAAAGGTTTCAACGTTAATTACTGTATACACATTTTGGTAATTTCCTGCCATTTGGGTGTTTATTCGAGTAGTTCCGTATCATTTGGGTAGTTGTGTATCATTGTACGATGGCCCACAAGGGACACACTGCAAAGAAAAAGAAATGCTGCAAACAAAAAAGAAACGCTGCAAACAAAAAAGAAATCATGGAAACAGAAAAGAAACGCTGCAAACAAAAAAAGAAATGATGCAAACAAAAAAGAAATGATGCAAACAAAAATAGAAACGATGCAAACAAAAATGGAAACGATGCAAACAAAAATAGAAAACACCAGCAAACGAAAAAATGAAACGCTGAAAACAAAAAAGAAATGCTGCAAACAAAAAAGAAACGCTGCAAACAAAAAATAAAAACACTAGCAAACAAATAAAGAAACGCTGCAAACAAAATAAAAACACTAGCAAACAAATAAAGAAACGCTGCAAGCAAAAAAATAAAAACACCAGCAAACAAAAGAAAAAGCTGCAAGCAAAAAAGGAAATGCTGCAAACAAAAAAATGAAACGCTGAAAACAAAAAAAGGAAACCCTGCAAACAAAATGGAAAAGCCTTTGCGCGCGCGCATTTCATATTAATTGACAGACTGAGGTCAAGTCAGATGCGCTGCAGGGCTACATCATAGTGTCAAGCCATGTTTTGCTCTAACTGTGGAACAAAAAGGGGTGTCTATAAAACGACGACCGAAGACCCAAAAACGAAGACCCCTATTTTTTTCTCGTTCATTTTGATGATAATACGCCATACTGTCACAAAATCAAATTTACGACATTTTTTGGGCGTCTGTTTGTGAAATTTTCAAGGGTCTTCGTTTTATAGACACCCTATATGGGTGTCTACAAAACGAAGACCCGAAAAACGAAGACCTCCAATTATTTCTCAATTATCTTATTGAAAGTATTTCAAAATCATCATAAAACAGTTGCCAAGTACATGTTTCATTATTTTATCATGATTGAGAGAAAAAAATGTGGGTCTTCGTTTTTCGGGTCTTCGGTCTTCGTTTTGTAGACACCCATATAGGGTGTCTACAAAACGAAGACCCTTAATTATCTCGTCCATCCTATGTTGGTATCACTACCAAATGACCGATGCTGCACATATGCGTCACTATACCACATTCCTACTGTTTATTTTAACATGGAACAAGTTTATTGAATGAAATATTCAAGGTTTCTGTAGGTCCCCAAAATACGCGTACCGCTAGGCCAAGCCTTCGTTAGAGGGTAGCAGCGCCAAGACGCGCTCAGCCACCAGCCGTGGACGTAGGCCTACAACATTGGTTGTCGCTTTGGAACTGGAATAAAGGGTAAATCATTCAATTGACTCAGATTCAGGCAACAATGTGCTAAGAAGACGAATACTATATATACATAGCATGAAGTGATTTTAAAACATTATTTTATCACGATTAAAAGAAAAAAAAGTGGGTCTTCGTTTTTTCTGGTCTTCGGGCCTCGTTTTGTAGACACCCATAGGGTGTCTATAAAACGAAGACCCTTAAGTATTTCTTGATATTCCTCATTTTATTCCGATAAAATAATGAAATAGGTTGGCACCTGTTTTATGATTATTTTGAAATACTTTCAATAAGATAATTGAAATAACTGGAGGTCTTCGTTTTTCGGGTCTTCGGTCTTCGTTTTGTAGACACCCATATTGGGTGTCTATAAAACGAAGACCCTTGAAAATTTCACAAACAGAAAAATTTCTTAATTTGGATTTTGT